CAGTCCAAGTATCCAACAACAGATGGATAAACAAATTCACACACACACACACACACAGAGGAATATTTGGAATATTATTCCATCATAAAAAGAAATGAAGTACTGAAACATGCTACAATGAAATGAACTGCAAAAACGTTATGCTAAATGAAAGAAGTCAGACATAAAAAAGTGTAGCTTTGGAATTAGAGGTAGTGACCACGCATGGTGAATATATTAAAATGGTTAATTTTATGTGAATTTCACCTCAATTTCTACAAAAAATAGCCAGCTCCCTAGACCAAAACATAGTAAGTCACTGACTTAGTGTGAAGGTATTGGAAAGCCTTTCTCATCAGAGTATTAAATGGTATAAAATAAGAACAAAACCAAATCTCCATTCTTTAGTAGCCTTTGTGGGAGGCTATCCATCATATTCTTGTTTCTTTTTCTCTACTTCTGTTTGCCTTTGAATGCTTCTCCTGTCAATTAATACCCATTACTCAAGATGAGCAGAGGAGTGAATAAAATGCAAAAGTTATAATCTTGTTAACTGCGAACACATCTGGCACAAAGAAATTAATTGAAATGTAGATATAGTATTAAAAATCAATAAAATAGGATTATGGGATTAATAGGGGTCTTAGTTTCATCTATCCATGCAATTTCATTATCATTTAACAAAGATAAAAAGCCTGCTACTGAACTACAGACAGCTTTCTCAGGATTCCCATTTTTCTCAGGATGCCAATTTTAAACAACCTTGTAAAAGTCCTGAGTGTCTGGTACTCAGATTTCACTGTACACTTTACCCATGTCTATTAGTTCCTAGGACTGCTGGAAGAAAGTAAACAACAGAAATTCATTCTCTCACAGTTCTGGAGGCTCAAAGTCTGAAACAAACGTGTTAGGACCATGTAACTCTGAAGGCTCTAGGAAAGAGTCCTTTATCTCTTCCAGGTTCTTGTGGCCCCAGGTCAGGTTGTCCTTGACTTGTAGTAGCATAACTCCAACTTCTGACACTATCTTTACATGGCCTCTTTTCACTGTGTCTCAGTGTCTTCTCTTCTTATAAGAATACCAGGCATTGGACTTAGGGCCCATACTAAATCCAGGATGATTTCACCTGAAGATCCTAAACTAATTACAGCTGCAAAGACATTATTACCAAATACAGTAGGCCTCCCTTATCTAAGGTTTCACTTTCTGTGGTTTCAGTTACTCATGTTAAACAGTGGTCCAAAAATATCAAATGGAAAATGACATGAACAATTTGTAAGTCTTAAATAACTTGCATTACTGTTATTACAACTGTTTCATTTTATAAGTAATTACTGTTGCTAACCTTATATCGTGCTTTATCATAGGTATATATACGTATAGGAAAAAACATGGTATATATGGGGTTTGGTACTACCTGTGGTTTTAGGCATCCACTGGGAATCGTGGAAACGTATTCCCCACAGATAAGGGGGCTACTGCAAGGTCACACCCTGACATTTCAGGTGGATGTGAATTTTGGAGGGATACTATTCATCCCACGATTCCACGTAAGCAATGCAATTTCTCTTTTAATACAGTAAAGTTTAAAAAAAACTTTCAAATTCAAATTCAGCTTGATAAAATTAGAATAATTATGCTTCTGGGGAAAACTTTTAAAAAATAACTTTAATCTTCAAAAGAAAAGTAAACCAAACAAAAAAAATCAAATCCCTAAAACTGAGTCTTTACCTTTATTTATTGGCTAAAACTGATTATGTAAGTAAAGATACTTTTAGACAAAAAAGACAGATGACAGATCAGTTCTACACTATTTATAACTTGTTACTTATAAAATAAATTTCAGTCCTCTTATCATAATGATAATTCAATACACCCTCTCTTAGAACTCAGGGTCCTTGAAATTTATGGGTTTTTACTAATAAAAACTTTTTTTTTTTGAGTTGGAGTCTCTCTGTGTTCCAGGATGGAGTGCAGTGGCACGCTCACAACCACTGCAACTTCTGATCTGCTGGGCTCGGGTGATCCTTCTGCCTCAGCCTTCCAAGTAGCTGGAACCACAGGATAAAATTTTTAAAGATAATCCCTTAGTCATATATTTTTAAAACACTTAAAAATCAATTTTTAAAATTTTGAAAGGTGAAACTTTATAACCATCTTCAAAACACAGTGTTCGGGCATGGTGGCTCAAGTCTGCAATTCCAGCACTTCGGGAGGCCGAGGCGAGAGGATTACCTGAGCCCAAGGGTTCAAGACCAGCCTGGGCAACTTGGTGAGATCTTGTCTCTACCATAAATAAAAAATTTAGCTGGGCATGGTAGTGTATGCCTGTAGTTCCAGCTACTTGGAAGGCTGAGGCAGAAGGATCACCTGAACCCAGCAGGTCGAGGCTGAGGTGGCTATGAGCGTGCCACCACACTCCAGCCTGGGTGACAGAGTGAGTCTACAAAAAAAAAATAAGTAAAAAAAAAAATAAGTAAAAAAAAAATAAATAAATAATAATAATAATATATATTTAGTAGAACTTATTACATGGCCAATTTATCAATTACTTGAAATAATATGACAATGTATCTACAAACAATTTCAAATCCCAAATAATAATATAATTACTTAATGTTTAGATAGCTTTACAAATAACAATTTTGAGAACAACACTTTACAAATAACAAATCTGAGGATAACATTGGTTAATTGTATACTTTTCAAACTATAAGAACATATTCCATACTTTATGTATTTTAACACTCAAGGGTATTTTTCTATATGAATAAAATTCATTTTATTATAAATTTTCAGGAATTCTTTCTAATCTATCAAGATTTCATATGAAAAAGCAAAACCTATTTGTTTTTTATTACAAAACAGCTAGTATGAACCCAATGGAGAAAAATGAAGTCAGACAATTTCTTTGGCAGAAAACAATGACAAACAGGTCTTAAAGCAAATATAATCCATAAACTCAAAAAAAAGAAAGAAAAATAACCCTGTATTCTTATTAATGCCAAAAACATCAGCATCCAGATTTAATATCATTTTTGTACTATCAACAACCTGCAACACAAAATTTATTATATATTTGGCAAAAATAATTTTTACCTTAAGAGACAGAAGAAACTTCCACATGTATACAATTTCACAGATAAATGCCAACATACACTAGTTTTTATATATATGCCCTGTTTTATTATTCCAAAACTACATTAGTTGAACTTAATAACTGGTCTCAATTTAGTGGGTATGCAGTATTTATACTGGCTCAAAGACTTATGCTGAAGTAAGCCTTTACAATTCAGATCACAACTATACACGAAATACTTACATCAACATTAAAATAAGTTTATTAAATATAGTTTGGGAGAAAAAAATGTAGGAAATTCCATACATATGCAAACATTAACTATTATCAAGAGCAGCTTTGGATGTTTAATTTTTTTTTTTGTAAACAGAAGATTTGTTTCCAAAAAAGTAAGGTGCCATTTAGGAATATTTTTTAAACATATATAAACAAATACACATGAAAGGAATATACTTAATGAAAAACAATATGAGAGATTAAAGGTTAAAATGTTCATTTCAGTTATTTGTATCTGAAATAAGACAATGACATAAATGGGGCTTTCAAGTACTGCTTATTCTTCCATTTATATGTAGACTTAGTCTCAAACAGACTATTTTTATTCTAGAATAAAAGTTTCTTTGAAAAATGAGCATACTTATAATCAAATTTCTGTAAATGACAAAATTTTCAGAGAACTGTCTTCAAATGGATAGTAGTAGAAAGATTGGGTGCTTTCTTTAAAAAATAGAAATCTTGCTTCCATGCAAGTAACTTTTTAAAAACAAATGTCTATTGTTTTCCCAGTCTAAATATCACGGATCCATATGCATATGTATTTGCATTTTCTATTTTGTGTTAATAAAAAGTTGGTAGATGATAAAGTAGCATCCAAAATTTTAGGAGAGAAAAAAATTCCTGTTGGTTTACTACCAAATTCTCACACTATGTGGAATCTATAGCAATATATACTTCAGAAAAGTTGCTTCAACAGTCTCCTTCCTATCAATCCAGTGCCTTCTATGAAGTCACCACCTGCTATTATTCTACAAATTCAGAATTACTTCTGAAAGAAATGGCCATTTTTTTTAACAGCTTGGCATGCTGACAGCTTAGCAACGGTACTTGAATCAGTTCTTTAAAGAAACAACACATCACTAAAAACACCCCTATCGCCATGCTTGGTATATATCACATCAAATATTAGGAATGTCTTATGGCTCAAATTCATGTATAATCCCAATCCCATAAAAAGAAAATATAGCATACAGCATCTCTGCACACCACATTGCAGGAAGAAAAACAAATGGACCATATCTTTATTAGAGAGAAGCCAAAGTCACTTGAAAAGGTCATCAGTGGCAATTCTAAATACGGGGATGCATGTAGGAAAGTTTTTCTCTAGGGATTGGGAATGCTTTGTGGGGCATTCCTTAGCCCTCTGTAGCATGACTAGGGGAGTGGCTAAATGCTTTATCATACATCTGCATTTACACCGTCTTCATTGCTAATAACAGAAAACATTTAGGTTCCTTCCAAATAGTTCTTGCTTCTGTGGACAATTATACGTTAATTTTTACTCAACATAACACTGAGAGCAAAACTGACAATACTGCAAACATGACTGCAATTTAAGAAGCCAAAAGGAAATATGTTGGCAAGCTAAATGCTTACACAGACAGATGTTTGCCTTTTAAAAGAATAGTGTGTGGGAAATCCTGAAAAAATATCAACTTCTTCAGTGCTGTTATCATGATATTTTGGGGGGAAATAGCGGTTTTTTAAAGTAAAATTTGTATACTCCAACCTCATACTGTTTAGTGTCATAAGGCTACTTATTGGGTGTCCAGATTTTGCATGTATAGAAATTTGAAAGTAAGGCAAAACTAACTGGAATCATCTTGCTCTGATCAAAAGGTTGACATCAAACAAACTAGACTGAAAAAAACCTTTTATGGCCTCATAGAGTTAGACAGGTTTTTGTGCTTTATTTATTCATCGACCTTTGAGTTGAGAGCAAAAAAGTTTTCTTTTAATATTTTCAGGTTAGAATCACAAGGGTTGAATGACACACTTATGAAGGCTTTCAAGAAAATGCTTGGCTTGTTTCTAAAGGAGAGGCTGCTGATGGTAATTTGTCTGCTGCTGTGCAACTGAATGAGGTGCAACTGCCACAGGAAAGCCTGCCAGTTGTGGCAAATTGGAAGTAGTGTTCTGGTAAGATGACATATCCACAGACATCCCCATTTGCTGTGTGTAAGCAGTTGTACCAGTAGCTGATTGAAGGGCAGAGTTCTGGTTCATATACGTAGGATTGGAAACAGGGTCTTGTCCAGTGCTACAAACAAAATTTTAAAAAGAAAACCATATTTACATAACATTATCTAGGTTATGGTCATAGATCAATAATCAGGACAAAAACGCCTTTTCCATCTTCTTGTTAAAAAGTTTATGAAGATCTGTTGTTTTGATGATTAATTACTACAGCTATCAAATACTGTTAATGTAATTTGTATATTTGGTAAAAAGAGAATACTCAAAGAGAAACAAAAAAATTAGATAATAATGTTTATTTAACTTGCTTTCTCTAAAGCAGCAAATGAGTCTTCAAAATCTCTCAATCAAAACACTTACAAACTGACTGAGGAGATGCAAATTCTTCCTGACTGAGGTCCCCTTGACTGATGTGATGAGAATGAGAATGGAGCCCCGGCTCAAGATGCACCTTCAGCTCACATTCTCCCTTTCTCATCTCCAACCCAACACAAAGTTCATTTCTTCTCACACACCCTTCATGCTTTCCTTTGGCAGGGACTGTCCACTTCCAAAGTGAGAAAAGTATAATCTGCAGGATCCTGAATCTACTCTCAGGACAGTCCTGAACTATAGTTTACTTTAACATCTCAGAAACTAAGCTGAAAAATCACATCAAATTTCAAAACCTGTTTGTTCCTGTAACTACTGTGGCATATATTTCTTTTAAAACGTACATAATTTTAAATTACTCCAAATACACTGCTTGCAATACAGAAGGATTAATTTCAATACTACACTAGTTTTTTTCTTCATAATTCCTAGTGTCCTCAGGATACCAAAATTTTATATTTTAATTTAACTAAACACCAATATAAACAAATTTATTTAATTTTCAGATAATATCTAAAATTCATACTCATAGAATTTTAGAGTGGGAAGAGACCGTAGAGATCATCTAAACATGATTATATTTAACGAACATTTTATACGGTTAAATAAAGTGAACAGAAGGAAAGATTTTAATATAATTCTCAGAGTAGAAGTGTTTTAATTAAAAAAAAATTGAACTACAAATTCCATAGTTCAAACATACTTCTTTTTAAGAGTCAAAGTAACAACAATTTTCTACTTTTTAGGAGAGCATGCAGAGAAATATGTCTGAGACTACTTCACTAGGTTACGGCACAGTGCTAAGCACAACATGAGCTTAGTCCCCATAAAGAACGATTAGCTTTATTTTATCCCAGGGACAGACTATAAGTTTAAGTCTGAGCAATCATCTCAGTATGAGTAGCAAAGCTAAGGGCAACACCATTCTACTACATGTGATTATGAACAAGCAGTTCTGTCACTTCACCTTAATAAAGGCCTATATATTCTCATTACGAAAATCTATGAGAAATTAACATAATTAATATAATTACAAAATTAACACAGATACCAAAATCTTACCTTATATATGGAGTTTGAGCAGGCTGTGTTGTCACTGAGGAATTCATATTTGGAGGCAGAGATCTCAGTGGGCCAATATGATCTGGTCCTAGGCTATAGCTTTGGGCAACAGTTACTTGGTGAATGCTTTGACCCATATAGTTTCCACCATGTGATTGAACTGGATATGTCTATTAATCAAAAAGAAAAAGTTGACTCACTGATCTCCCAAATACCTGCCTAATAATAAATTCAAAATTTTAAGACTTAAAGAAAAGAAAATATTATAGTTCTTTGGGGAGCAATTTGATTCCACCAATATATCCACCTTAGAACTAAAAGTGGAGAGTTCTAAAACACAGCGTTAGCCGGGCTCAGTGGCTCAGCCTATAATCCTGCGCCTTGGGAGGCTGAGGTGAGTGGATTGCCTGAGCCTGAGGGTTCGAGACCCGCCTGGGAAACTTGGCGAGGCCTCATCTCTATAATAAATAAAACAATTAGCCGGGCGTGGTAGCGCATGCCTGTAATTCCGGCTACTTGGAAGGCTGAGGCAGAAGGATAACAGGAGCCCAGCAGGTTGAGGCTGCAGTGGCCGGGAGCAGCTACGGCACTCCAGTCTGGGTGACAGAGTGAGACTCCAACTCAAAACAACAACAACAACAAAATTAAAACACAGCGTAAAATCTATGGAAATTTGATTTGCTTGAAATTTGACTGCCTGATACACAGATACCACATTGTCACATTAGAATGGGAACTTCTGAATATTTCAAATGCTCTTATGCATGAATAGATAGAAGTTTGATATGAAGAATCAAACGGATAGAAAGTTAACTTTTCAAAGAAATAAACTGTGCTTTGCAAAAGTCGGACTGTAAATAAAATACGACTAAACTCAAAAACTTGACACAGGAATGACAAAGAACACTTCATTGGTACATGAAGTAAGCATACAGTTTCATCATACAATGGTGTAGAATTTGTATTTTGTTCCACTTCCATAGCAGCAGCACACAAGTGTTTGAAAACAGAAGCAATGAACCCCAATTGTCTTTTGAATCCAGAAGTCTTTCTTCTCCTCCTATGTATAATTTTCAAAAAGTCTGAAGCATCACATTACTTGATAAATGCATCTTATCTGATGTGAGAGTTACCATAGTAACTATCCTTTTTTTAACAATTAGGTTGTGTCAAGTCATCTAAATTACGCACTCACATTCTAACTATTCTCCTTGGTGTCTTCTTCACACACACCTTTACATACCAGTTTTCATAAATTAACATGAATTTTGTTCATCCAATTTCATTCTGAGTTCAATCGCTAATTGGCTGAAATTTGAAAAAGGCATCAGAATGGGATTACTGATAAAGGTAAGTATTCACTTCAAATGGCAAAAGACAAAAAAATGAAAGGTACTAGAGAAAGATGCTGTTCATGGATGACTTATGGAATCTGCACCTCATATGCCTATATCATACCTTCTTTATGCACAATTTTTGTTTTTGTTTTTGTTTTTTTGAGTTGGAGTCTCACTCTGTTGCCCAGATTGGAGTGCAGTGGCCGCTCCCGGCCACCACAGCCTCGACCTGCTGGGCTCCGGTGATCCTTCTGCCTCAGCCTTCCAAGAGCTGGAACTACAGGCACGTGCTACCACACCCGGTTAATTTTTTATTTTATGTAGAGATGAGGTCTCACCAAGTTGCCCAGGCGGGTCACGAACCCGCGGGCTCAGGCAATTCACTCACCTCAGCCTCCCAAAGTGCTGGGATTACAGGCTGAGCCACCGAGCCCGGCTTTTATGCACAATTTTTTAATAATTTGAGTCATGCAGCTAAGAAAAGGAAATACAAAGCATACTTTGAGAACAAAAGAAGTTCATTAACTAAGTCTTTTAATAACTATGTAAGTCAAAGAAATATCTTCACAGAATATTTTAAAGAAATGTGCAATCTTCTTGTTGAGCAGCAAGAATAGCATCAGTATCTCACCTGGAGGACTTCTGATATATCAGGCACTGTCCTAAGTCAAAGGATTTATACTCCACATTTACAAAAAAGATATTCCACATTTACAAAAAAGATTTATACTTACAGAAAACTTATGCTTTATGCTTACAAAAGCATATGAAGAATCAGAATTCCTCTCACATATTTAATGGTTTTCCCATCTACATTAAAAATGAGCTAAAATGTATTTGTGAAATATCAGTATTAAACTTGTTCTGGTGAACACTGTTTAGTCAATATTTCTTGAAACTATTAAAGATGATATTAATAAATTTATTCACAGACCACAGACATTTTAATATTATGCTTTACAACATTTTATTCTAATTTAAAACTTGTTCATAATTTAGAAAAATGTTCTCGCAAAACATGCTTACCTGCATTGGAACTCCAGATGATGTAGGTGGGTAATGTGCTGGCTGATGGAGCTTTGAATAGACTGAATATACTGGTGCTTCATTCACTAATTTGTTATACAGTTCCAAAGCTTCTAAGACTTTTACATTCAGTTCAGACAACTCTGAATGCTTCCTGATGTAGAAGAAAGGTATCTTAATATTCTAGTTTTTAAGTGTATTTAGTAACACAAATTATTTTTTAAATTTAGCACATTTTCTATTCATATTTTAAAAGGTTCTTTTTATATACAATGAAAGAATATTCACAAAGGGAAACCGAGAGGAGGAATTACTTAATTCTTAAGAGAATCTAGTTTCTTTCTTTCTTTTTTGAAAGCAGGATTTATTGAGAGGACGGAAAAGCTCCCACAGTGGGAGGGGACCCGAAGGGGCTGCCTGAGAATCTACTTTCAACATGTTGTAGTTTTCTGTTGAAAATCCAATTATTAAAAAAATTTTTTTTTCTCAATTTAGGTAAAAGTCTAAGCCTTAGTTATAAATTTCAATAAAGGACAGAATTCAGAAAAGGCCCAGAGCCTTTGTAAAGTACAATATGACCAAAATCTAAAAATACTCATTTAAAAAAAGAAATCATACACATTTTCACTTGCTGATGATATCCAAGAAAGTTATCAGTTGGAAAAAAGTTACTTACATAATTAACCTTGAAAATCCAAGGGAAAACAATGTACATACAAAACTAGTTTCTTGCTTGTTAGTTGGTTTGTTTTGAGAAAGTGAAACCAAATGCCTTATTATGTAATAACAAAAAAATCCAATAAGAGCATTTTAAGCCGGGCTCGGTGGCTCAGCCTGTAATCCCACTCTTTGGGAGGTTGAGGTAAGTGGATTGCCTGAGCTCGCGGGTTCAAGACCTGCCTGGGAAACTTGGTGAGATCGCATCTCTACAATAAATCAAAAAATTAGCCAAGCATGGTAGCGTGCGCCTATAGTTCCAACTACTTGGAAGGCTGAGGCAGAAGGATCGCCGGAGCCCAGCAGGTCGAGGCTGCGGTGGCCGGGAGTGGCCACTGCACTCCAGTGTGGACTACAGAATGAGACTCAAACTCAAAAAAAAAAAGAGCATTTTAAAATTTGCCCAAGACTCCAGAGCAAATTCTTCTGACTTGCTACACAATTTTGTTTGTTCTCTAGGAGTAATAAATACTATAGGCTATCTCTTATCTTCCATTCACTATGGTGTCTCCCTCTGATTTAAGATAGAAAGTTGAGAAAAAGGAAAAGGAGGCAGAACCTAGTTGAAAGCTCAAAGCCCTTGTAAGTGTATCCTTCAGTGCTGCTGCTACTTCTAAAGAATAAAACTAGGTGGAATAACAAAATTAAAAGGGCAATAGATACATAGAAATGCAAGGACAAAAAAAAAAAGAAAATAGAAGGTGTGTTGCAATTAATTTAGCTTCTCAAACACTAGAGAAATTTTATTTGAAGCTTGTATAAATACTATTCATTATCACATAATAAGTTAAATTCTTGCCAAAGATCCCTGTTCCCATTGTGTTTTCTATTCACTTTATTCTTCATTACTCATTATTGCCTGAATTCTAGCCTAAGTAAAAAATAAAGACTGGCGTGATAAGAGCAAGCGTCCATAATTCTAAGCATACCACATCGCCATGAAAAAAAAATAAATTGCTACCAAAATAAAAAGTACTACTTGTCTATTAGTTTGTAAGAGCTTTGGAAACTGAAAAACAATTCCAACCAAATTGTATGGTTCAACAAAACTTTTCCCTTGTTTATAGTTTGCCAAAGACAAGTGAACCTAAGAAAACTCTATTTTTTATTCTGTGCATGAAAACTCTCACCTATCAATCTCTTCAAGTTTTTCATCTATCATTGGACCCATCTGTTGGCAGATATCTGTAAATACAAAAACACTTACAAATCTAGAAACAATCCAGTTTAAACCAATTTCAAAAATTTTTAACAATACTGCACCAAGAGGCAACATCATGCATAACACATAGAGATTACATTTATGCTAGAAAAAGGACTCTATAAAAGACTCAATTTTACTATTTAGCACCATATAGTACATATTGGTACATATTATTATCATGTGATAAAAGGCAAAGTCCCCTTCTAAAATAAAAATCTCAACATGCTCTCCTTGGAACTATTAACTAAATTTACAGATTATAAAATTTGGAGTCATCCCAAAGTCTTATTAAAGATATCAACAGGTCGGGCATGGTGGCTCAGCCTGTAATCCCAGACTCTGGGAGGCCAAGGCAAGTGGACTTCCTGAGCCCATGGGTTCAAGACCAGCCTGGGCAATTTGGCAAGACTTTGTCCCTATATTAAATTTAAAAAAAAACAGCTAGAAGTGGCAGCCTACACTTGTAGTTCTGGCTACTTGGAAGGTTGAAGTGGAAGGATCGCCAGAGCCCAGCTGGTCAACATTGGGTTGGCCATGAGTGTGCCACTGCACTCCAGCCTTGGGAACCAAATGAGACTCCAACTCAAAAAAAAAAAAAAAAAGGCCGGGCTCAGCGGCTCAGCGGCTCAGCCTGTAATACCAGCACTTTGGGAGGCTGAGGCAAGTGGATCGCCTGAGCCTGTGGGTTCGAGACCAGCCCAGGCAACTTGGTGAGATCTCGTCTTTACAATAAATAAAAAATTAGCCAAGCGTGGTACCACACGCCTATAGTTCAGCTACTTGGAAGGCTTAGGTGGAAGAATTGCTGGCGCCCAGGAGGTCGATGCTGGGGTGGCCATGAGCGTGCCACTGCACTCCAGCCTGGGCGACAGAGTGAGACTCCAACTCAAAAAAAAAAAAGGTATCTACAAAACTATTATTTGCTAAGTAAAACTAACTTGAGCCCCAGTATATAAAACATGTAACCAAATACAGATTAGATATGAATATCTTTCATTCAAGAGATTTCAAAATTAAATATTTTGTATATTTCCAAATGTGAACACTGATAAAGAGCACAATACTATATCCTATATTCATTTTTCTTCTATAAAATTATCCACTTTTTTCTCAAAGGATTTTTTAAAAAGCATTAAGAACATGCTTTAATTACTTCACACTTTTCAAAGACTGCAAGACACATCAGCATGCATCAAATGACTACATTACAAAGTTAACACTGATCATATGTAATTTTCAGCTTTCAAGTAAAATACATGATAATTAAACAGAAATAAGAATTTCTTAAACATTTTGATTCAATTTAATATGCTGTTATTTCTAATTCTGTCCTTTTGTGAACTGCAAATATCTTCACCCAATTTCACTAGTGGGCTTACAAAATACAGACTTTTTTTTGAAAAGGATATGCAGGTTTTTGACAATACTGCCCAAATAATATTTCTACTATTTTACTGTATTAGTTGGTTCTCTACCAGGATTTCTAATTTCTAGAAGCACATACAAGGCAGAATAAACTCAAAACTCTATAAACTCCTAAAATATTAAATAACATTAAAATACTTTCTAATATTCACTAAGTACCTTCTAGATCCAAGAGGTCTTGGGAGTCTGGTTTTGAATCTGTTGGATCTATACTCTGGAGTGCTTGCAGGGCTCTATCCATCTTATCCTAAAGAAGTAACAGGACACTTTAACAACTCAAGAGTTTTATCTTCAGTGAATATAAAATTACTCTTTCCAAGTATTGACAAAGATCGAATATTTTAAAAGTCTTGATTGTTTAACTATTAAACAAAAGAAGGACTTACCTCATCTATATAAACAGGCTCAGGTTCTGATTTCTTAATTTCCTCCACATCATCATCAATTACATTCAATTTGTCTACAGCTGCTATAGAAACAAAGTAAACTTTAAGTTCCTCAGCATTTACTCTGGTAATTTTCATCATTAATTTATCAGTGGCCTATGATTGTCCATATGAAAAAAACTGGAAATCCTTTAAATAGTCATCACATTTCATAGTCAATGTTTTTACATATGTTCATTCACTTATGTCGCAAATATTCACTTAGCACATACTATGTGTCAAGCATTGTTCTAGGAATTTATACATATACCAGTGAATAAAACAGAAAAGAATCCCTGCCCTCATGGAACTTACATTCTAGTGAAACAAGTGAACGATATTAATGGGGAGCTGTCATTACAGGTGTTTTCCTGAAAACTGAATGTTACCACTAGGGTGAATGAGTCTATTTAGCTAATAAGTTATATCCACGAGTTCCTTTAACATTCTCTCCTTCCATTAAAAAAAAGTTATATTTCCTGTATGAACAAAAAAGTAGACTTGATTTTAACCTAAATTTGCTATAGATACAACACTAAATAAAAGAGTCTTTTATCAAGAGAAGGTTGAAAAAAATTTATAAATATACAAGCTCATAAAACTATTTAAGTGTTCTCTGGAGTACTGCTAGAATATACTATAGTGTAATAAAATAAATTTTGGTAAAAATAAAATTACTATGAAAACCTATGCAACCAAAAGATCTAAAAATCCCAATAGCCATTTAATTCAAATATTTGACTAACTCTAATTATGCCCTAAAGAACAGAGGTCAGCATAATACATGGATAAACTGAAAACTCAACATATTTTTTCTTTTAATATTTTCCAGTCTATGCCAAAGGGAAATTGGTATATAGCATCTTATAGCCTGAACTATTAAGTTACTTTTAAAACGGTATCTCCAATATTCCTCTCTGCTTAGAGAGTTAGAGGAATAAAAGTGTAAATAGTGGCAAAGTATTCATTATTCAAGTGAGTGAGTAACCAAATCATAAAACTTCATTTTTCTGAATGCACCATTCTACACATACAAAGATACAGTTACACATGATGCATACTGTTTTCATTTTAGATGCATACTGTTTTCATTTTAAGTTATTTACCCAGAACTGGAAGGGATTAGCATTGATATATCTCCTCAGTGAGTCAGTTATAAGTACATTCTAAGGTCAGACTGGCTGACTTTAGAATCCTAGCACTATCACTCACTAAACACAGAATCCCTCAGTCTCAGTTCCCTTGTCTGTAAAAGAGGGCAACAAAAGTACCTATTTCACAGAATTGTGAGAATTAAATGAAATAGGGCAAAGGACTTAGCACAATGCCTGACAAATAATGAGTGCTCAAAAACCATTAGCTGTTTTATTTCTGATTATTATCGTTAGTGTTCTTATCCTCCCACCTCCCTACCTACATAACCAATAGAATGTTTTCTCAGCACAGTTGGCAGTGGTTGAGGGCAACTGTCTGTGCCTGCGGAACTGACTGAAGCTCAGAAGATCGGAACCAGGAAACTTAGTGGCTCAATTATATTATTTTACTATTTTCTGGAGCTCCCTAAGATCAAATCAAGGTGAGAAAAAGTCTAAAATTTAGGAGTACTGCTAACCTCTGTAATCACAGGCAACCCTGGCCAATCAGAACCCCCCTCCCAGAAGGAAACCTCCCCTTTGCAACTGTGGTTCAGGGATGAGTACAGAACAAACTGCCTCTTACACTATATACTTGGCTTGATCTAAATATCTGTATAGTCACAGATTATTTTATGCCTGATATTTAACTATGTATGTTAACTCTCAGAGGATTTAAAATAGGAGGAAATAGTTATTGGCATTAATTAATATATACAAGACAAATTCACCCCTGGATTTGGTTAAGAAGTAGGTTAGACTGTGACACCTAAAAATGATTTAAAACAAAAGTTAAGTGCCAATCTACTTTACATTCAAAATTAAGTCATAAAACTCAAGTGAAAAAAACAGATTTAGCCTTCTCTAAGATTTAACTTACCTGCCTCAGACTCTATGTTTAAATTAGTTGTTACAAAATTGGATGGGAAGAGTCCTATTCCTCTGTGATTTTCTCCTTTCCACCAATTGGCATCACTAAAAGTACAGTGCAAAAAATATCATTTGTTCCTCCACATTTTAGTACATTTGCGTCAAGAGGAATTAAATAAAAATTAAATGTAGCCTCTTTTAAAACTATCAGTTTACATCCAGTTATATATTTTCTACTTAATTAAAAAATTGAAAAGTACAAATAAAACAAACATCTATTTTCCTATATCTAAATTTAAACAAATTAACAGTTGGTCATATTTGATACTGAGCTTAAAAAAAAAACAACCAAAAACAGAAAACACTGAAGTCCCCTTTATTAAAGTCCTATTCCCACATCTATTTTACCATACCAACAAAGTAAAGCTGATAGTTTTCCTGCCAGTATGTTCTTCATTCTTTCACATAAATGAGGGGAGACCCAAAAAAACGGAATTTACAAAAAACTGTATTTATTCTTACATGTTTAAACTTCATTCACTTTCAAAGTACTCTCCATTTGATGCAATACACCCACTGGGATGCTTTTTCCACTGCTTAGAACAGTTTTTGAACTCATCGATGCTGGCGCTGTTTAGTGCTTCTGCCATTTTTTGTTTCACCTCTTCCACATTGCCAAAATGTTTCCCTTTGAGCACTTTTTTCATCAGGGAAACAAAAAGTCGTTCAGGGCAAGATTAGGTGAACAAGAAGGGTGGAGCATGGGGTCATGCCATTTTGGGTCAAAAAATCCCAAACACCCAGTGCAGCATGGGCAGGTGAGCTCATAAGCACCCATCAATAAAATGGACAAACACACAAAGAAGAGCCCCCCCCCCCCAAATTCACTGAAGCAGAACACAACCTCTTACAACAATGTTAGCTGAAACACTGATGCTGATGGGTTCCTAGAATGCCTACCTAGTAGGGGGGAAGTCTGTACTGCAAAGGGCCTGTTCTCTAAAAATAATTCCAGTTTTTTTTGGAGAGGTTTCCCTTGTATCTAAAGCCAACTCCATATAGAAACTGATAAGTAGACACAGATATTAAACCTTATAGATTAAGAATCTTTTAAAATTTTACATGTTAATACTTTGAGCTCTTGTTTACTCCTTTTAAAGTATGCCATACTTTATTTATCCATTCTTGTACAGATGGACATTTAGGTTGTTTTCAGTCTTTCACCATTATAAAGATCGAGATAATAATCATCCTAGATTCGAGGGCACATACACAACAATTTCTCTAGGCTTATTCAGACATGAACTTGCTGGACCACAGGATTTAAGCATATTCATTTTACTATATATTGCCCAAATGTTCTCTAAAGTGGCTATGAAAATTCACTTTTCTCTTTCCTCTAGTAGCAGGTGAGAATGTAATTTCCCCCCATATGTGATAATTTTTCAGACCAACACTTGCTATCAGACAGAAGAGAAATCATATTTCACTGTATTAATTTGCATTTCCCAAGCATGCACTTTTATTTGCTGGCTATTCATATTGCCTCTTCTGTAAACTGCTTGTTCATATCTTTTACCCGTTTTTCTTTTTCCATTTGGTCACTTGCTTTTTTTTTCATAGATCTGTATAAGTTCTTCACATATTCTAGAGATAGCAATCATTTGTCTGAATTATGCAAATACCTTATTCTAGGCTGCCAATGTCTTTTATCATATGTTTATAGTTTCTTTTATTCTACGGTGTTTTTGTTCCCATGTAATCAAATTTAGCAATCTTTTCTTTTATGGCTTACATTTTTACCTTTCTGTACCCTTAAACTCCTAAATCTATTCTCCCATAAACTTATTTGTCCATAGTCTTAGGTTTTCTTTTTCTATATCCCTTCTATGTTTAGGTCTTTAATTCATCTGAAATGAAATTTTCTGTACTATATGAAACTGAATCAAATTGCATTTGTATTATAAAAAGAGCCATTCCTCCTAGCAAAATGTATTAAATAATCCATCATATTTTCTACTAATTTATGATACCCTATTATTTCAGAAAGCAAGCTGCGATCTGTTCATGAGCCTTTTTCTGGACTGTATTCTGTTGTAATAGTCCATATATCTATTTACTACAGCTTGTTAACGTGCCTTGACACTTGGCAGGAAAAGTACTCTCTCTATATTAACTCTTTATCATTTACTGCACAAGTTCACATTTCCACATTAATTTTTTAATGTTTTTCAAGTTCTCTGGGGAAAAAGGTCCTGTTGGGATTTTAATTGGAAATGAACTGAATTTATGCAATAACATGAGGAAAAATCTTTAAAATATTAAAGTTTCTTTACCATGAACATGGTATCTCTCTCCATTTATATTTACATAAACATAATAAATGAATGCATATATTCTTTTATAGAATTTTATAATTTTCTCCATACAGGCTTTATTTCTATAACACTTATTTAATTTTTTGCTACTACTGAGAATGACTTTTTTTTTTTTTAACTTTTAAATTTTTTAAAAATTGTGGGGTACAATTCAGGGTCAGGTATACAAATATTCATTGTGCAGTACCCTTGTTGATGAGACTTTTTTTTCTATTACATTTTCTAAACAGTCATGATTAAAGCATACCACTGATTTTTGTATGCTGCGCTTCTATCCAACAACCCTGATGAACTCTTACCAGTTGTAATAGTTTGTCCACTGGACTCCTGAAATTTCTATATGGACAGTTATAGCATCGGGAAATAATAATAATTGCATCTCTTCCTTTCCAAAAATTTGACTTATTGATCAGGAATTCTTAAGGATGAGCCTTAAGTATGAATAAACTTTTAAAAATTTGAAATATCATTTCATTTAATAATCTTTCCTAGAGATATGAAAGATCTATATATCACCTAAATTCTTAAGGTCGAAGAATAGTTTGTCCATTGGACTCCTGAACTTTCTATATGGACAATCATAGTATCTGGAAATAAAAATATAATTGTGTCTCTTCCTTTCAAAAAATTTGACTATTGATCAGGCATTCTTAAGGATGAGTCTTAAGTATGAATGAACTTTTAAAAATTTGAAATATCATTTCATTTAATGAGCACCATAAAGATATGAAAGAGCTATATATATCACCTAAATTTTTTTTTTTTTTTGAGTTGGAGTCTCACTCTGTCGCCCAGACTGAAGTGCTCCTGGCCACCGCAGCCTTGACCTGCTGGGCTCCGGCGATCCTTCCGCCTCAGTCTTCCGAGAAGCCGGAATTACAGGTGCGCGCTACCATGCCCAGTTGATTTTTTGATTTATTGTAGAGATGAGGTCTTGTTGCCCAGGCGGGTCTCAAACCCACGGGCTCAGGCAATCCACTCACCTCAGCTTCCCAAAGGTATGGGATTATAGGCTGAGCCACCGAGCTCGGCTACCTAAATTCTTAAGGTCGAAAAATTATCGATGTACTGACAGTTCTAAGGTATCATAATCTGTTAATGTCTTCATAGGACAGGAAACATTCTTACACACATATTTTAAGTTGAACGTGTCATTTTAAAAAAGAAAAGCTGACCATAGAGCAATTTTTATCTAAATCCAGAGAACCCAAACCTATGAAACTGATGCAAGGATTTTTACTTGAACCTATCAAAAATTATATGTGAGGCCTTCCTTAGTGGTCCTATTAATGTAGGATAATTTCCCTTCCAACCACTACTGCAAATTCCTTGAAGAAGCATAAAAGTAGGCAAAACGATCAAATTGACAACTCCTTCCTAACTCTATTCCAACTCTGTGTCCTCTCCACTAACTACAAGTTGATTCTATAGAATGTTGACGGTGCAAAATATTGTTCAACTTTAAATTCCTAAATTAAGGTAATCAACACTATAATTTTAAACAAACTATTTAATAATTAGAGTTTTTATATTAAAAAAGAACAAATCACAACTGAGTGAAAAAAATGATGTAAATGTAAGGGACTATAAACTTTGCCTTCAACAAAATGATTATTCAGTTAACATTTATAAAAATCTACCATGAGAAAATAGTTCCTTCAGGCTAAGCACTGAAGTTACAAAGATAATTAAGATACCATTTCTGTCCTCAAGAAATTTAAAATGTAGCACAAGCTGAGTGCGGTGATGCACACTTAAAATTCCAGTTACCCAGGAGGCTGAGGCAGGAGGCTTACCTGAACCCAGAGCCCATGCTGTAGTGCACCATGATCATGCATGTGAACAGCCACTGCACTCCAGCCTGGGCAATGTAGCAAGACTTAATTTCTGGAAGAAGAAAAAAATCTAGTCTCCCCTACCAAGAAGATGTTACCTTTTTTTACTTTCTGGAATAGTTTTCTACTATCCCCTTCCTCCCACCCAGAAAAGTGCTAACCCTCTTTCAAAATCAATTGACCTAGCAGGAAGAACATATGCAAAGAGATATCTGGCCCTCCGTAACGGTGGGTTCTACATTACTGACTCAACCAATCCCAAATCAAAAGCATTCAGGAAAAATAAACAAAAAATAACAATATAACAATAAAAACATTAAAAAAAAATAAAGTATAATAACTTTACATAGCATTTACACTGTATTAGGTACCATAAGTAATTTAGAGATGATTTAAGTATACAGTAAGATGTGGGTAAGATATACGCAAATACTATACCATTTTACATCAGAGTCTTGATAATCTGTGGATTTTGGTATCCAGGGGATCCTGGAATCAATGTCCTGTGAATACTGAGGGATGACTATCCTTACAATATAGTACGACAAACACTGTTATATAGGTTCAGGGAGCTACAGCAGCAACAGAAAAGGGAACTCCTAACTCTACTGGGAACTAAAAGCAGGGAACATTTTAAAGGCTTCTCAGAAGATGTCAAATGTGACATGGGTTTTGAAGGTTAAGTAGGTACTCATCAGGAGGAAAAGGAAATTAAGGCTTGAAAATAAAAATAATGGGGTTGGGGAGTGGGGGAAGGAAATGACATTCTGCCCTGCTGCCATTACAGATAAGCAAGACAATAATAAAGCACAAATAAAAACTCTGCACTCTGAGATTTAAAACAAGATTATTCTATCTAGCTTTAGGTCTCAAAATAAGTGAAAACTTGAGCCTTTAAGCTACTGACTTAATGGAACCTACTCATCTGCTGATTTTTGCAATGACAATGGCTGAAGGTAAGTGACGTCTTTTATGGATATAACAATCGTTAGAAAAATGCTATTTCAACCATGAACATACCAACAGTAAACCTGGAAAACCTGGTAATCTTGTGAGGGTCTTTTCCTTAAAATATCTGTTTCATTTTTGAATATGGGAAGCCAACTCTTCTAAAGACTTGACTCTTGCAAACCTTCCTTCATTTTCACTTCTAAATGCTTTTGCCTCCTTTGATAGAGCTTTCTAGGCAGAGAGAACCAAATGTACAATGAATGCTACAGAGGTCTAACCAGAACGTGGCATTTTTTGAATGGCAAGAATTCCATTTGATTATTCGAAATGGTACACAGAGAACAAACAAGGAGTGGCAAGTAAAGCTAAAAATGAAAAAAGTGAAAGGCTTTTTTTGGGTATACTCTTTTAACAAGAAATGTGTGCCTTTTCCATCAGTTCAATGGTACTTAAACTGAGATCCAAGAATGATATATTTTCAGGGAATTTAAGTTCTGTGGTGTAATTTTAATTTTATGTTTTCAATTCCACAAAAATATAACAATAATGAATACAGTCATTTTCTGTATCACCTGAATGACTTCCTTTTAACCTAAGATTGCCATTTAACTTCAGCAACCAAGTTTGCTCTTGTATTTAAAATCTGGCCAGTGATTACCAATCACATAGAATGACAACATTTCACCCCCACTGTGCTGCTAAGCATGTCTATCGTAACTATGATTAAGTGCTTATTATCAAAATGAAAGAAATTGACCTATATATTCCATCATATTCATGTTGAAATATCTTAGCAACTACAAAGAAAAAAGTTATTTTTTTCAGTGATAAGTCTTAACTAAAAGTTGGTTTATGAATCTAAGCTATTTAATACATTTTTGCTTTAAAGAGACATCAGTGAAAAAGACATGGTACAGCAAGGTATTGTCATCCTTTACTTGCTGTAGGATAGTGAACTACAATATGTATATAAGGCCACAAAAATGCCAAATGACATCATGATATACTATATGAAGGATTCATAGCAGTCATAACAGAAAAAGTCAGGCAAGAATTGAGTTACCACACAGCATAGGGTAGTTACAGACCTGCTAAAGTACCTGTGCTATTAATCAGTACTATATATAGCTTGTGTACAGCTATTTATTTTGGAAAATTTTGTTATATAAAAGTAATGCTCCAAATTTGACTCTTAGAGCAAAAACTACTCATTTTGTTGCTTTGTTTCTATTTATAAATGCCTTTAATTTTATAGTTGTATAAGAGTACTAAAAGTGTAAACCTAAGTTCTTTTGCAACTATTCCACCTTTTTAAAAAACACTTATTAGCCTGACATTTCCAACTGTCAGTGTTCAAAACCCACACTATCTCTCTACCTTTACAGACAGTCCCCAACTCAACAGTGGTTTGGACTTATGATGATAAATACGCAATATATATTCAGTAGAAACTGTCCCTCAAGTACTCATAAACCACTCTGTTTTTTGACTTTCAGTACAGTATTAAATAAGTTACATGAGATATTCAATATCTATTATGAAATAGGCTTTGTGTCACATGATTTTTCTCAACTGTAGGCTAATGTAAGTGCCCTGAGCATGTTTAAGAGAGGCTAGGCTAAGCTATGAGGTTCGGCAGGTTAGTTGTATAAAATGTATTTTCAATTTACAGTGGGTTTATCAGGACATAAGCCCATCATAAGCTGAGGACCATCTGCATTTCTGTTTACTCTCCATCAGGAATCATGAGGTCCATGCCAAATGATTACTTCCAAAAAAAATTTTTTAAGAAAAAAACATTATTTTGTAAGTGAACACAGTACTACCTTGATTGCCTAAGAGATCTTCCTTTTTCTATCCTCAATATCTTGCGAAATTTTTTGTGCCTTATCAAAATCAATCAAGGTTCACCTGAAATGGAGCCCAAGGATATGCCTTCTTTTCCAGATGCTTGTGCCAAACATGCAACTGCTCTCCTCTGCCCGATAGTACCTCCTTTCTGGCATTTACCACAATCTGCCTTCTACACAATTGTCAGTAATTTTAACTTCCTTACTTTATTCTAAACACAACTGTGTCCTCATTCATTTTTATTATGAAGAGAGTCTATTATGTAACATTTCCTTTTTTTTTTTTTTTAAAGAGATAGATCTCGCTCTGTTGTCCAGGCTTGGAGTGCAGTGCTATTTCATAGCTCACTGCAGTCTCAAATCCCAGGCTCGAGGGACTTTACTACTTTGGCTTTCTGTGTAGCTAGGACTACAAGTATGACCCACTACACCCAGCTAATTTTTTAATTTTTTGTAAAAATGGAGTCTTGCTATGCCACCTAGGCTGGTCTCGAACTCCTGGCCCCAAATGATGCTCACCTTGGCCTCCCAAAGCGCTAGGATTACAAGTGTGAGCCACCATGCCTGGCCTATTACATAACATTTTCTCAATAAATATTTACCACAGCAAAGTAAAACCATTACATATCTATCCTTTATTTAAAAATTTACTAGTGTGAACTTGCTAAATTATTTACAATGGATACCAATGGATAGTAAGTTATTTAATACATTTTTGCTTTAAAGAAACATCAGTGAAAAACACATGGTACAGCAAGGTATTGTCACCCTATACTTGCAGTAGGACAGTGAACTACAATATCTATATAAGGCCACAACAGAATATTTGCAATTTCTGTTCACAGCAACAAACTATCAGATCTCACTCTTGCTAAATGAATTTCTACTAAAACTAAAAGTACAGAATAGAATTAGGCTCAATATAGATAGACCTAAGTGTTATGACAACCTAAAAATAGAGAATTGTAAGGAGAATACAGTATAGTAGATTAAGACTCGGGAGGACCAAGCATAGCTTTTGGTTGCTTTGATCAAGGTAATATAGCTATATTTCTTCCTAAAGTTTATCTGTCATTACTTTTAGTAAACACAACTGCCAAGAAAAGGATATTCAGATGAATATTTATGTGTTCCCCAATTGTGGTAACTAACACTATTATTTAATACATTTCTCCTCTAAGATATATGAAATACTATTAAATTTAACAAGAGTAAGAAATTCACATTATCTCACCTAACTTTTATTTTAGAAAAAATAATTAAGGTATGAAAAGGCTCTACTGTGATTTAAATACACTAATATTTAAAGAACTGATTATTCTAAATTCTAAATTAAGGATATTATACTTTAAAACTTCTGAATAGTCCATAAAGATTTAGAACATACCTGTCATCCAAAACAATAATAATTTCACCATGTTTAAAGGTGAGTTCGTTGTCCTCAACAGCTTCAAAATCATATAGAGCTCTTACTTTACGTGCAACTTTATTATTTAACAGGATTTCTGCAGATGGATATAAAGATTTTGTTTCTGTGTGTTGCTGCTTCTGCTCTTGCAATGATAATTCAATAGCTAGTATCAAAAATTAAAACGCAAAAAAAGATAGTTAGAATTTTATTTTTTCAAAGTTTAAATAATAGATAACAATGTAATATTTAACAAGAATAAATGAATATTTTATTTATCCAATTAAATGCTACACAATTACCTTGCAGGGGGACAGGGCAGAAAAACATGACTTTTTTTTAAAGTAAAGTTTTTGCTCATTCCTTATTATCACAGTTTGTCATATACAGCAATTATTTTTATAGCAAACAGATTGTGACATTATAATATGGGTGGCTTTCCATATAGGATAAGCCATGAACATATTTCTGTGCTTGACTCATAACTCTGGCATTAAAGAAAAGGTGAAATGTAATCTCTCTAAAGGTAAGACATTAAATGTGTATTACTGAAAAAGACAGTAAGTTAAATTAATCTCATAACATGTTGTTTGTTTTGTTTACTTTTTGGACCCTACCAGTTTTCGCATTTGAGGTAGAATTAAAAGCATACTCCAGTTTTATTACCATTTTTATTTCAAAAAAATATTCTGGCAAGGACATTTTAAGCAATACTAACTACATGTGCTGATCATTTACCTTTAGCTATGTCTTCATCTTCTTTGTTTTTGTTCAATGACGTACCATTCTTGGCAGCAGCTGAGACAATCTGTAAATGTATGAGTTAAATAAACACAACTATCATTTCAAACAAACACAAGCTCAATAATTACTTGCAGATGCTAATTTTAAAAATACTGATATAGCTGAGCTTCATTTAAAAGTGAAGTTCTTTATTTTTGATACAGGGTCTTATTACTCTGTCACCCAGACTGAAGTGCATTGACACAACACAACTGTAGCTCACTGTGGCCTTGAACTCCTGTATTCAAGCAATATTCCTGCCTTCAAAGTAGCCAGGACTACAGGCACATGACACCTGGCTAATTTTTTTGTAGAGATGAGGTCTTGCTATGTTGCCCAAGCTTGTCTCGAATTCCTGGACTCAAGTGATCCTCCTACCCTGGCTTCCCAAACCACAGGAATTACAAGAGGGAGTCACTGTGCACATCCTAAAAGTGAAGTTCTTTATGACAATTTTAAGCTGTTGTTTTCAAATACTGTAATAAAACATTACAATTTTTAAGAAAGCATTATAAACTCACAAAGGCCTCGAATTGGCTTACATTTTACATAAATCTAAGTATACGACACAGAACTTGGCATACGGAAAGTACTTAAGTATTCATAGAATGAATAAATAGGACTCTTTTCTGCTTGTGCATCCTGATCTCAACTGTCGAAAGTCTCCTACTCAGTGACAGCACAGTTACACAAGAAGTCAGCAAGAAATCATGATAATTAACAAACAGGAGAGGAGGGAGGACAGAGACGAGGTGCAGTTCGAGGAATACATGTGCAGCCCTTTGACTACACATTGTGGTAGGATGGCAGTGGTTTTTCAGGTAAATCAGAGGACTAGGTCATGCTTACATTTAATGAATGGCATGTAAGACAGGTATCCAGGACTCTGATCCATCAACCAGTTCTTTAACACAGTTTTTGAGAAAAATACACAGGAAGGATAGAACAGGAAAATGCTTGCTGTTTATTAATAAGAAGACTTTTGTTTCAAAACTCTTCTTTGTACCCTTAGGTCTAATCAGCTACAGGTAATCTTTTTACCTCTATAGTCTAAAATAAAGGAAAATATAATTCTCCCCTTAGTCTCTTTTCTCAAGCCACATCCTAATATTAATTGAAGGGCAAAAAGTACTGAAAGCCAAATCCAAGAGACAATATTTTTTTCCCACAGATCTAAGGATATAGCCCATTACATGAGTCATTATGCCTGCTTCCACTCCCGTTCTACTAAAGGTATCCCCTATATCCCCACATAAATTTCTAGACTTATAGTCCACCCATTTTTTTTTTTAGCCCACCCATCTTATATGTAAACCATTCACTCTAGGCATATTCATTCAACAAACAAGTCTTGAGCATTCTCAATTCCATGAATTTGTTCACTTCATTTCTCCCGATATGATCTCTTCACTCCTGTCTAATTAAAATACATACACGTTTCAAAATTCTACCTCTTCACCATCACAATCTGTAGTTATCTCCCTCCTTCGTCCTGAGGTAGACAACATCTAATCTTTGTACCCCCCCTTATCCAAGATTTGCCACTTACAATTTATTTTACACATATACATGGCTACCTTTCAATTGTACTATAAATTCATACAGGGTTATCTTATACATCTGTGCCTTTTGCATGACTTCAGAGTTAGAGTAGCATTAAATATGTTATTTATGTCTGATTTACTTATCAAATTTCTGACATGAAGAAGAAATACACATAAAAACTAGAGTGTCTATTAAATGTAAGGCACTTTGCTGGATAGGTACTTGGGAAATGAGGTAGGAAATGACGATCAAGACATACCTTGCCTAGTTTTTTGTAAAAGACGCATACCTTCAAAATACTAAAATAGGGTCAACCATGGGTCTGAATAAATCTCTCACCTGAGAACCCGCTGAAGGAAAAGTAATTCCTTCTTCTTTCATAGATTTAATAGTTGCAGATATTAGACTAAACTGAGGATCCTTCTGAAATTCTTCTGACCACTCCACCATTAAAGATTTTAGTTTTTCACATACTTTAGGGTGGGCCTTTTAAAGAACAGGCAAAGGAGAATAAACAGAAACCTAAGGTTAAAATAAGTAATTAAATTATTTAACTTACAAGGAGAATTACCACTAAAATTCTCTTTAATTATATGAATATCAACAAAAGTTCAGCAATTCCTAGCTTACTTGAGTAATTAATAGATGACTATTTACATCTAAGATGTACAGTTAAGATATACTTGTTTCAAATAAAATGACCCTCTGTGATAACAAATCATTTATATTGAGATAATTTCCCCTGTTTTCTTAATATTTTTAATATTAGATTACAATTTTTTAAATCAATCCTACTAAAATTCTAGAATTTTTGCCACTAGCAGCATGAGAATGGTGCTTAAGAGTTTCTGTCTCAAATAAATAACTTCACAATAACAATCAATAATGAAAGCCCCCTCTACTCTGGTCTAAAATAAAGACCCCATTTGCTCACCATTTCTAGTGGGAGTCAGTATAGAATAGTGATTAGAATTAGGAGAATGGAGTCACAGAGGCCAGGATTTGAACATTGGCTATCCTACTTACAAGCTTGGACAAGTTACTTAACTTCTCTCTAAGCTTCAGTTTCTGCATTTATAGAATAGAAATGATAAGAGAATCTAATGCTCCAAGAGTGGTTAAGACAGTCTATGTAAAATGTAGCTCTCAATGAAGAGTCACTATTATCAACAGCATATATATTTAGGGGAGAAAAACAATTTCAGATGCTACAAATTAAAAAATCAAATTTCAGAACAGAAAGTTTATTTCATTTCAATTTATCTAAAATGATTTCATTTATAATATTTATTCATACAATATACAGTTAAAATGACACACTGTGTATTTATTAATGACTGAAATTTCTTTTCTTTTTAAAATTTACCTTATTTTTAATCACAGCACGTACTTCTGTTGCAAAATCACGGGAACATACTTCTAAGTGAAATATCTTTCCACAGTTTGCCACACAAGCCCCAAGAAGCTATTAATTAAAATAAAAATTAATATACAAATGTTATAACATTCACCTACTGAAATAAATACACATTTAAAATTTGCGTCAAATAATAACGTGACTTTTACTCACAGTCAATGCCTGCAGAGCAACATGAGGAACTTTATGATTTATTCTTTTCATTATGGCTTTTAGGCAATCTTTTGCACTAAAAAAAATAATTAGAGACAGTTAAATACTCACTGAGAATTTTAATTAAAACATTAAAAATATAAGGTATTCCATTACCAAACAGTCTTATATTTAAAAGTAAAATCCTGGAAACATCACTTTGTTAAAGAAATAAATCTATAAAATGATTTTATATAATCTTTTGTTTAAAGACTCATAGAAGTTTTAAAATATGGGCGTGGAGATTCACACCTGTAATCCCAGCATTTTGGGAGGCCAAGTGGGAGGATGGCTTGAGGCCAGGAGTTAGAGACCAGCTTCGGCAATAGTGTGCGACTTCATTGCTATAAAAAATTTAAAAATTAGCTGGGCATAGTGGTGCTGCTTGCTAGCTACTTGGGAGGTTAAGGTGGAAGGATTGCTTGAGCCCAGGAGTTTAAGGCTGCACTGAGCTATGATCATGCCACTGCACTCTAGCCTTCGTGACAGAGCAAGACTCTGTCTCAAAAAAAAAAAAACTTAAAAAAATCACGTCACCAATGTTGCATATTCCAAAATTAAAAGACAAATCATTTCACAAAAGGTCAACACAAGAGAACTCTATCAGATAAACCTTTTCATTTCTTCAAGGTAAATTTGGCTTTCAGACAGCAAGTCCTTATCCTCAAAAAAAGAAAACTAGTATATATACGTAACACCTTAAAATGTTCAAATAAACATGTGACTATACTATGAAAAGTTTTCATGTTAAAACAAATGCTTTCATTTTCTAAAGTATAATCAGTTCAGCTTAATTGTCACACTCCCCCAAAAACACTTTTTATGTTCACTTCTTTCATTATTGTATTTCTTAAAATATTTATATTTAGAGTATTATTGAAAAACTTTTGTTATATTACCTATCATATTACTATATTATCTACTTCATTATTTAAAAGTGTCCATATATGTTTAAGTCCCAGGGGAGTTCTTTAAATAACTCATCTATTCATTGTTAACATGTGTCCCTATTATACCAAGACTTTAATTATGTATGCTAATACAGTTCAGATTTTCAGTTAAACTCTCTTCCATTTGTCCTTTCAGAATAAGGTTAATTCCCTAAATCCAGCCTTCAGGCTAACTTTTACTCTCCAGAGGTAAATACAGTTGACCCCTGAACAATGTAGTGGTGCTAGTGGCGCCAACTCCTCACACAGTTGAAAATCTATGCATAACTTTTGACTTCCCAAAAACTTAATTATTAATAGCCTACTGTTGACTGGAAGCTTCACCAATAGATAAACAGTTGATTAACACATATTTTGTACGTCACAGGTATTACATACTGGATTCTTGCAATAAAGTAAGCTAAAAAAAATTTTATTAAGAAAATCATGAAGGGGAAGAAGAAGAAGAGAGGTTGGCCTTGCTGTCTCAGGGGTGGCAGAGGTGGAGAAAAATTGTAAATATAAGAAGACCCATGCAGTTCAAACCTGTGTTGTTCAAGGGTCAACTGTACTCAAATTTTATTTTTCTTTCAAAGTTACATCATGAAAGAGACACAGGTTATCAAATCCCTAGACATTCACTGAGCATGAGTGGGCATCTTACCCATTAGGAGTGCTTCCAACTTTGTCACATATGTCCATAATAAGACTCCAATCTTCTGTAGTGTTGTACTCATTTGTGGCTTTTTCTATAAAATACATTGGCATACACAAAAATGAGGACACGTCTTACATAAAATACCATTAAAGGCACAACAGTTAAGAAGCCCTACCTTTTCTCTTGCCAATGACAAAAGAATTACCAAATGAACTTCAGAGGATAGTCTTTCTATTAACTTCAATTTTAAATTGTATAATTAAATAAGCTAAATATTCCAAAGCTAAAAATGCCTTCTAAGTAATCAAAAAAATTACAAGTTATCAATAATTCCATCAAATTCTATTGTGACAGAATGCTTTAAAAATGTATCATTAGACAGTGCACAGTGACTTATGCCCTTAATTTCAACATTTTGGGAGGCTAAGGGGGGAGGATCGTCTGAGGCCAAGAGTTTGAGACTAGCCTGGGCAACACAGCAGGATTCCATCTCTACAAAAAATAAAAATAAAAAATTAGCCAGGTGTGGTGGCAAATGCCTGTAATCCTAGCTAGTTGGGAGGATCCCTTGAGCCTAGGAATTTGAGACCACAGTGAACTATGATTGCACCAGCCTGCATTCCAGCCTGGGGAACAAAGACCCTGTCTCTTTAAAAAAAAAGAAAAGAAAAGAAAAGAAAATATGCATTAAACTATCCACTGAAGCATTGTTTTCAACAGCAGAAAGGAAAACCGATTAACACAGTAAATTCATGCAATAGAATATGAAAATTAGGTACACAAAATTAAATGTATATACAAAAATGTCTGAATTTTGAAATATAATGATTTGCTTGGGCTTATAATAGCAGAAGAATATATAACATGAATTTAGCAGTCTTTTCAAGATAGAATTCAAATACCAACACAATTCACACATTTAAAGTGTACAGTTCAACGTTTTTGGTATATTCAGAGTTGTGCAACTATCACTAGTATGTAATTTTAGAACATGTCATCACCCTAAAAGAAATCTGTAACCTTTGACAGTCATTGCTCACTCTCCCCCCATATTCCCAGCCTAGGCAACCATTTACCTAAGTTCTGTCTCTAAAGATTTGCCTATTCTTTTCACATAAATAGAATCATAAAATATGTGTTCTTTTGTGACTGGTTTCTGCTATTTAGCATAATGTTTTCAAGGTTCATTCATGTTCTAGAATGTAACTACCTAATTTCTTTTTACTGCTGAATAATATTCCATTGTACAGACACACCACATTTTATTTAGCCATTCGCCAGTTTATGAACATCTGGGTCTTTTAAAACTTTTTGGCTAATTTAAGTAATGCGGCCGGGCTCAGTGGCTTGGCCTGTAATCACAGCATTTTGGGAGGCTGATGTGAGTGGACTGCCTGAGCCTGTGGGTTCGAGACCAGCCTGGGCAACTTGTAGAGACCTCATCTCTACAATAAATAAAAAATTAGCCAGGCATGGTAGCACGTGCCTGTAGTTCCAGCTACTTGGAAGGCTGAGGTGGAAGGATCGCTGGAGCCCAGCAGGTCGACGCTGGGGTGGCCGTGAGCGTGCGCCTTCACTCCAGCCTGAGTGACACAGTAGGACTCCAACTTAAAATCAATCAGTCAATCAATCAGTCAGTCAATCACTGCTGCTATGAACATTCTTGTATAAGTTTTTGTGTGAACTTTATGTTTTTATTTGTCTTGGTATATACCTAGGAGTAGAATTGCTAGATAGTATGATAACGTATTTAACTGCTTTCTAAGAGTTAACAAACAGTTTTTAATGATGGAGTTATGTAGCATTTTCACTCCATTAGTTTACAAAATTTCTATGAAGGCATATACACAATCTTTTTTCTGCTAGAAGAGAGAAATAGAGATATAAAAAGTATCACTTTATAAACATTTTCATTTTGTGCTTTTCCCCTTTATTAAATGTATTCTATAATTTCAAATATTGAAAACCTATATATAGTAAAACATGTGTGTGTGGGTGTACATATAAATATACACACACACACATATGTGCATGTGTATGTGTGTGTGTGTGTGTGTGTGTGTGTGTGTGTGTGTGTATGACGAGTAATATCACAGTGTTAAGCAGGAAAGACGGTAGGAATTTAGAGTAGTTTCTTGGAATAATAATAAAAAAGTCAAAAAATAAAAAACAGGCTTACCAAATAGTTATGCTTTGTAAGTAAAAAGAAATACACCAAATTCAGTAAGCCTCAATTAAATGCTGGAACTAGCTTTTAAACATCATGCAAACTGCCTAATAGTATTTATAGATGAAAAACAACTATTTTCACATGTGATTAAATAACAAATCAGATTTTAGGAAAGTAATGTATTTTGCCTATTGAAAATTCTAGACCCAAGCACCAAACTATGCAAGTAAAAAAAATACCTACTCAGGTCCAACTTCTTCTAAGTACAAAGAAGACTATTGCTTCTACATGGAAAGTCATATCAGACATGCTTTTTTAGAGGCTTAAAATGCTTAACAATTTCCTAATTACATAACTAATAAATTTAGTGAATTCAGGAGGACAGGCAAGAATAAAAAGTCCTAATTCTACCAGCTCCTTTTCAAACCATGATATATATTATTCCAGACTTTTTTCTACATATGTATATGAAAAAAACAATTTTTATGTTTATTTATTTCAATAGCTTTGGGTACAAATAATTTTTGGTCTGGGCTTTAAGTATGCCCAGCACCTCCACCTATGCACATTGTACTCAATAGGTGATTTTTTTTTTGTCCTTCTACTCCTAAGGCTCCACCTTCTGAGTCTCCAGTGTCCATGATACCATTCTCTATGTCATTGTGTAGTCTTTGTTTAGTTTCCACTTATAAGTAAGAATATGTGGTGTTTAGTTTTCTGTTCCTGAGTTTGTTCACTTAGAATGATGTTCTCCAATTCCATCCAAGTTGTTACAAAAGACATTATTTAATTCTTTTTGATGCATGACAAGTGTAGAAAAATAATTTTTAAAATCTATGTAAAATTAAATAAGCTATGATATAAAGTACACAAAGAAAGCACCCCAAAATTAACAACTCCTTCCCTGGCTAAGTTATGAACAAGATGAGAAAAAAAACAAAGAATAATATATTACTGTTTTCTAAAAGAAGCTGTAGGTATACTACCCAAATGGGCTTGCCAACAGGAAGCCCCAGAAGTGGGCATGCCCTTAGCACTAGACAGGGAGGCCTCTCCCTGCAAGGGTAAGCCTCTGCACAATTTGTTCCACAGAGAAGTAAGTGAAATGTCGATGGTGGTGGAAAGACTAGTTAGTCCTACACAGAAGAAGGGGATATCTAAGGCCCTCAGTTGCTCTTAAACTTACCAAACAAGTAAGTCATCACACCGGAGATGAAGTGAATAAAGGAGCAAGAGCAGGCTCAGAGCGATACTAATGGAACTCTCTTTTCAGGAAAAAACCTTGGGGTAGAGAAAAAATAGCCCTAACATTGTGATTAAACTAAATGTACCACTTCCTTACCTGTATTTCCACTGATCATAAACATCTATGTTCATAAATATACATAGCCGCATAATGTACCACGACATACAGAGGGGTCACATGGTTCCCAAACCAGCTAGTGAGATGTTATCACCACAGTGGTTTTAAAGCCATCAAGTATTCAACCTCTCTTCTGTGTTATTTTCACTTTGTTATTCTCATGCTGATGCACGACAGACTAAATATAAAATAATTAAGAGGGTAGGCTTTTGTACATAGGTCTTTCTGAAGATGTTTCAGCATAAATACTTTCTCTTGTTTATCATCTGTCTCTGCCACTATGTCTCACCACACCCCACCACCAAAATGAATGCAAGCTCCATCAAGGTAGGAATTTTTGTTTGTTTTGTTCACTGTCATTATTTCTAGTGCATAAAACAGTACATAAGGCACAGCAAGGGTGTGCAAGAAATATTTGTTCAATAAAATGATGCTCATTGCTTCTCCACATCCTACTACTCTGGTATAGTGTGTAATACGGGAAACAACAGCAAAGATTCCAAGTATATGAACTAAAAGGTCTTCAACTATGATGCCCAACTGTGGACATAATTTAGCTGGTCTGTGCAAGTTCTAGACAATCCAAATACTTCACTGTTGAACAGACATTCCAGGAGCTGCACAGGACCAAACTTCAATAGCAACACCATGTGGCAACAAAAGGCAATAGCACTAGTGGGCTTATGAGGGCCCAGTTCTCCACTTGTTTACTGAAGAGGAATAACTACATTTGGGAGTCTCAGCTAGGAGTCAGGGTAAGTGGAGCAGGCAATGCTTCCAGAAGGATGCAACAGACTTCTTATATATATATATATATATATATATATACTGAGTCTAAAGAGAAAATCATAATTATTACAGCTTCATGCCAATCTTTTCCTATTTGCTTATGATGGGGTTTTTTTGTAAAATAATTTATCGTTCTTTCTTTTTATAGTATAAGTTAGCACACTGAACTACCTGAAAATAAATAGCCACCCATTGTCTCTTTTGTATACTATGCCCCTTTTACATGTAAATCTTTAGTGTACCTGGAATTGTATTTAGTATATCTGGAACCTCACATGTGGTGTCAGGAAGGAATAGAAAAATATTTTCACAACTTTTTTATCAGTTCCAACATTTAAAAATCTATCCTAGCTGGGTACGGTGGCTCACACCTATAATCTCAGCACTTTAGGAGGCAGAGGCAAGAAGGGTTCGAGACCAACCTGGGGAACTTAGCGAGACCGATAATAAAGTCAAGAAAAATTAGCCAGGCATCGCGGTGCACGCCTGTAGTTCCAGCTACTTGGAAGGCTGAGATGGAAGGATTACCTGAGCCCAGCTGATCGAGGCTGAGGTGGTCATGTATGTTATGCTGTACCCCAGCTTGGATGACAGTGAGACTCCGACTTAAAACATCCTTTTCTTACTGATCTGAGAAGCCAGCATCATCAGTTACAAATACATACACATGCTTAATCAGTTGAGTCTGGCTGTACCCAGTCTGGCTGTAACTCAACTTTTCATGATATTTTTTTCAGCTTTGGCCATGTGATATAACTGATTATGAAGC